CTCTCCGTCATTTTTTCACAGCCCATTATATATTTATTTATTCATTCAATTAATATAGTTTTTATTATTGGGGGTGTTGGGTGATGGTGGAAATAAATATTGCTTTGGACTTGGGGGTGGGAGGTCTGTACTTCACATTGCTTTCAAACAGAAAAAACAAATATATTATTTGTAAGGGCAAAAAGGAAATTCGTTACTCAATATTTCACATCTTTATTTTGTTAAGTTTAAAAGTTGGTGGTTCTGATCATTCGCTCTGATTTGAAACTTTGCTTACGAATTCGATGTAACTGAAAATGAAAACCTATTTTAATTTTAAATTAATTTCTTTTAATTTTTACGATAAATTTTGTAAAACAATGTGGCTCTTTTTACAATTTTTTTCCCTGAAAGATTTTGTTCTTTTTTGACGAAAATTCTTTTTTTTTCCTTAAAATTGACATAAGCAAACGCTGCAAGTATGCACTGCTCATATGAAAATTGAAATGAAAATGTTTAAAATCAATGAGTTAAAAAATCCCAAGTACGTTCCGGTATTCCGGTATTCAAATATTGCAAAGAATCATTGACAGACCGGAGTCTCCGATCTGTTTATATATTTTTATTTTTCGGAAAGCTACAGTTCTGCAGCTACATACATGTAGGAATAATTATAACGTAACTACATATGTATATATGGTATGTGTAATCCAACATAACTTCACGATATAACTTTAGCCTTTACTCAATCAAAATTTAAATACATGAACATGTAAATATTCTGTTCTCAGATATAATCATTTTCAAAAAATTAATCAATTTACTATGTGTATAATTGTCGCCCGCTTTCGCGAAAGCGAGGGACATTAAATCTCATTCGTCTGTCCGTCTGTCAGTCAGTCTGTCCGTCCATTACAAAAACTTTAACCTTGATCATAACTTTTCATTTAGTGGAGTATGACTTTCATATTTCACATGTGTATTTCTAGTGACAAGACCTTTCTTTGGGTACCACCAAATTTGACCTTTTGACCTTGACCTTGGAGTTTGACCCACTTTTACACAAAAATTACAAACTTTTACTTTGGCCATAACTTTTGAATGGTATAAAATAGGGTTTTCTTATTTCACATATGTATTTTTTTGTAGCAAGACCTTTCATGGGATACCAATGACTTTGACCTTTTGACCTTGACCTTGGAGATTTCCGTACTTATGAAAAAAAACTTCAACCTTGGCCATAACTTTTGAACAGTAAGGGTTAAGGCTTTCATACTTCATATTTGTAATCCTTGTGTAAAGAACTTTCATTTGATACCAACAATTTTGACCTTTGACCTTGAAGTTTGACCTACTTTTTAAAAACTTTAACCTTGGCCATAACTTTTGAACGGTTCGGACAAGAGCTTACATACTTTACATATGTAATACTTATGGCAAGACCTTTCATTGGATATAAATAACTTTGACCCTTTGACCTTGACCTTGGAGTTTGACTTACTTTTTTGAAACGTTAAACTTGGCCATAATTTTTGAACAGTTTGGGCAAGGGATTTCAAGCTTCAAATATATAATACTTGTGGCAAGACCTTTCATTGGATATAAAGAACTTTGACCCTTTGACCTTCACCATGGAGTTTGACCTACTTTTTAAAAACTTTAGCCTTGTCCATAACGTTTGTACGGTTCGGGCAAGGGCTTTAATACTTCACGTATTTAATAGCCATTCTCTGTAACCACTTAAACTTTGTTGCCACGCATGGTCACCGATTTTGATGAAACTTCACTCATGCTTAGTACTTGACACTAGAAACAAATATCAAACAAAATTTCGTTGCTATGTGTCTCGGTTGCTATGGCAACAGCCGGAAAAGTTTGAAAAATCGAGATTTTCAGCTACTTTAAATCTTGACTGTGGCTTAATAAAAACTAGAAAAAGCAAACAAACCATTCTCACAAAAACATGACACCTTGATGTCTGTTATACTGTAAAGAAACTGTTTAGAATATATCTCTAAGTAAGTGGTAACCAAGGGTACATTTGGAATACGTTTAAAATGGTGAAATATGCTGAAAAACACTCCGTATTCACTAATGGTAGGTGTTACATGCTCAAACTCAATCAAAGACTTTAGAAAAACAATGAAAATTTTTGACCTTAAGTATATAAGTATAAGCAATATTATTCTATAAATAACTTTTATGGTTGCCATGGTAACCAGTGTAACCATGCAAAACAAGTAACTTAGATTGGGTTAATGCTACTGTCTTGAGGAAAAACATGAAAATTCAAGACTGGCAAATATGCATCCTTAGGACCTTGCAACACCAAAACCACAAGAAATATTGTGTATAATTGCTACTTTGCAGTGTTACCATGGAAACAAAGTACCAGTGCTTAAAAGTGAATTATTTTTCGCTGCATTAAGAATTAAATTGCCATTTAATCAAGAAACAAATTAAAGGACTCAGCTTGAATAGTTCTTATCTGTTAGAACTGAAGTTGAATATCATATATTGATAAAATTTGATGAATAAAACAACACTGTTGCTATGGTTACCACGAAGGGAAAATGTTCGATTTTGTGAACTTTATATCAATATTAAACCCTGTGTGCCAACTTCTTGCATCCACTTAGAGATTGGATGATAGTCAAAATTAAAAGTCAAGTTAGCTGTTAATAAATATCAATCATAAAAGTTTTGGGAATCTACATTTAAGGGTACGTATCCAAGGAAAGTAAATATTTTTCAGGTTTTTAAGCATATATTTTCTGCTTATTTCCATAGCAACGCTCTATTTAAAGAATCTAATCTGAATTTTTTCAAATGGGAAAACTTAGAGCACACCAACATCTTGTAAAATTGATCATTAGTTATGAGGAAATGTGCTTTTCTAAAAGATAGGATCAGATTTAAACATACAGAATGTTACTTTGAAGGCTCTCTGTGGTATAAAAACCTTGGCAACCATTGCCAACCAAAATGAAATATCATATTCTGTTCTTGGTATATGTTTCAAGACTCTTTTTTCTATTATTTGGTCACATTTGATCCTATGATTGCTTTTTATTTTTACGTGTATGACTTCATAAAATTCAATGAATATTTTTTTTAACTTTTGAATACTTTGTTACCATAGTAACGTATGTAATAGTTGATTTACCAAACATGTTTACCATGCATTTGAGACATCTGGCCTTCAACTTTTGGAAACAGTCATTACCAATTGTTTGCTTTGCCGCAAATGTTAACTTTGGGACTCTAAACATGTTAAGAAATGCCATTTTTCGAACTTTACGACATGTTGCCATGGTAACTATAAAACATAGCAACCAATTTTTGCCTGATTTCAGTTTAGAGTATCAATGACTTTTATCATAGAGAGTTTGGAGAAATTCTGAGACTATGCGTGCCACAGCTCCTATATAAAATTTCAAATCATTACAGAGAATGGCTCTTAATACTTTTGGCAGGACCTTTCTTAAGAAACACCAATATATATTTAATTTGCATTTAAGAAAAGTTGAATCTTCGCTATTTTGCCATACGGGGTCATCAGGTTCACTTCCTTATAACTTTTGATTGAGAAGAGATAGGGCTTTCATATGTGACATGTGCATTACCTATGGCAAGATTTGACACAATATATCATAAAAATGACATCCCACCCACAAAGACCTGAAAGCAGGGGACCACAATTCTTTGAATTTGCTTGTTTTGATTGAAGTACATGCATATATATTTTTTGACTACCTCCAGGGAGGGGGTTGGGGCTTTCAATGAATTTTTTTGTTGCTATGTGCCCGTTGAAGAGGGAGGGGGATAAACCAACAAGAAAAACTGGGGACTATTCCCCAATGTTTAACTCCTACATTATGTCTATCTTTGCCTATACATGTAAAAGTACAGAATTAATTATCGACATGTTTATTATCCAAATTGTAATTTGAACTAACACAGTTTTCCATGCACAATAGTCTGCAGAACATCATCCGTCATCATGCAAATGAAATCCAACAATTTTTTTTTTTAATTTTTATCTGGAGACTCACTGTTTATTACATCTTCTTCCTAAACTAATACGTTTTTCAACTACTCATTGATTTTCATATCGATTAAGGAATTAACTTCGATTTACAAATAAGCAGTACATGTCATTTTTGTTTCTGTCAATCTCACAAAAAAAAGAATGGATAAATAGTATATATATATACATGAGTTTGAATTTATGATTAACGTAAACGTATCTGAGTTCTTGCATTAGGGGCAAGTTTATGTTAATGATAGATCTGATGCTCATTTACAGCCCACTAATTGTGATTTGTATGCAGTTTAAAAATTTGACCAAAAGTTACGACGGCTACTACATATATATGTATTTTAAAATGCATGCAAATAGTGAATTGGGTGACAATGAATACTTTTTCACAGAAAAGAACTATATGCGGTATTAACCAACATTTGCCCCCCAAAATCAAACTTTGATGGAGTAATATTTAATTAAGTCCTTAAACAGGGGAGTATATGCTGACTTCAAAGCACTGAATAATTTCATAAGTAATGACGTCATATGTACGTAATGACGTCACAAATATGACGTAAATTTCAGTTTTTTATGAATTTTGCAGAAAAATGTACATATTTCGTCGATATTTTAAATAAAAGTCACCGAGCGCATGTGTGTTCAGGATTAATATTTTGATATAATGTGTAGAATGATAATATCAATGAAATATGTCAATATTGTTCCTGAACACACATGCGCTCTATAAATTCTAAAGCTTAAATTGTTGAAATTTTGTCCATTTTGTCCTCTTTCTGAAAAAGGATATAAAATCGGACTAGTTTGTGACGTCATAAAAACAGAAATTGTGAATACACTGCTCTGGAACTGTAATATTTTCTGTTAACTTATATTTCTCGTACAATTTATTGAATTCAGCACATTTCAGGAAGTTTTCAAAATTTGACTTTTGTGGGGGCAAACATATGCAATATACCGCATATAGTTCTTTGCTTTGTTCACATTTGGTCAAATAGTTCTGGCATATTTTGGCAACCATAATTTTGTTTATGTATTTAATGTACAACCTTGAAAAATTTAAAATTCTCAATAATTGGGAAAAATATATCAAAATTCTAAATATTAATAATGCGGAGGGGGTGGTGGAGTTTTTGGAATAGATTCATCAGAGTCAAATGCCTCCTTATTGCTCGGTATTCTTTGTCCACGATTATAATGAACAGGAATATCACGTGACTGATGATAACCAATGAAAGATGGTCTTTGAACCTGATGTCCATCACTCAGTAAGCTTTGTGGCCCCAACAAAGTTTCAGATACCCTACTGTGAAACCTCGATGCAGGTACACCTTGAAAAGAACTCAATGTTTGTAAGTTGGGGATACTTCTGCTGCCGGTTTTTGACACGTCATGCTGAGATTGATTATCCTGAACCAATCCTTGGTTTCGATATATCATTTCTCTACTACGTCTTCTCCTTGTTGGCGATCCAGCATCAGTAGCCCAACCGTCGTTAAATATATGATCGCGTTCAGTTCTTTGGTGACTGATATTATCGGGTTTGGACAAAAATCTATCCTGAATTGTTTGACTATTGCGCATAACTTCCAGGAGTGACCCTGTCTGTTGTTGCTGATTCGTTCGACTCTCCCAGATTCTCTGTAGCTCCGGGTCGACCGGAGAATCTTTTGGAGTACTGTGTTTTGGACTTGGTCTCCTAGCGCATAAACTACTATCGTTACCAAAATGAGAAATGTCTTGCGATCGGTTGAGAGTTAGATCCCTGCCCTCGCCTGTTGAAGTCCTTGGACGTTGGCTTCTGTTCTGATAATTCCAACCTTCTTCGTTGCCTCTCCGTTTTACTTGCTGTAGAAACTGCCTCTGATCAGGGAATGACTCTCCTCTTACAGGTGAGGGCTTGTTGTTGTATTGAATTCCCACTCTTTCATTTTCATGCAGTGGATCGCTTTGGAATCCTTCCGGTGCAAGGTTTAAGTGGGACATTGACCCGATATTATTACTGGTATTATTTCCATAATGCCCCAAGTTTCGCCGGTAAGGGTTTTTCGAGGAAGCTCCCGAAGAGGAAGATGTGTGGTCTTTTGCTTTCTCAGTCGGTGCATTATCTTTATTTAACAACTCTTGCAGTCTGTTACCTTTCAGGGCATCTCTTGAACGACGTATATCAATATCTTTCACGGGAAAACGAATCATGCTTTTCCTCAAGAATTCTTGATACGGTGTAGACTGTTCGTCATTATTTGCTACATGCCTCTGTGGACTTCCTCTATTTGAAGGCGGCGGAGTAAACACGTTTCTGGACATGATAGGCACCTTAATGTCTTTTCTTTCCCCTATCTTTGCAGCTGCTGGCGGATATGCCACAGTATTCTTGGCAAACATTTTCGTATACTTCAATTCCTCGTTGAGGTGCCCCATGGTATTTAAAGCTGGAGGCCCTACATCTTCATAATCCTCCCTCACACTTTGCATGATCCTCTCTCGTTCCTGACTTTCTTCTTCCGATCTACCGCTTACACTTCTTCTTTGCCGCAGATAATACAAAACCTCTTCATCCTCTTCCCGATCTCGTTCACGAGGAGGTATGTTTCTATGTCGGGTTTCCTCATACTGACGAACAAAAGTCCTTGGCATTGTTTCTCGGCTGTTCTCCACTAAAGCACTGACGGTCTTTTTCTGACGAAGATAATCTAGAACATCCTCTTCGTTCTGTGTATTTATTTCGCGTTCCTCCACATCATATGGGACAGCTCCTGTAGGGGCCGATCGACGCCTTTGACCCATGTACTTACTGAAGCGAGACTGCCTGGTATCTTCTGGACTGCTATGAGCTGCTTCAACAAAACTACTAACACTTCTCCTTTCGCTCAAAAAGTTCAGTACCTCTCGATCATCTTCTAAATTACGCCCAACTGACGTTGAAGGTCCCTGACCATAACCACGCTCTCGGCTGGAGGATCGAGATTCAAAATCATATTCCCTTTCTTTTCTCCTTCCTCTGTCTGGTCTATAGTCAGAGCTTTTTGATTTTTCTACTGCTTGTAGATATTGAGAAAGGGGAGATCCGCGAGCCATACGTCGGTATCTTTCACTGGATTCAGTTTCTCTGCTCCCATTCACTTCGATTCCGGAATCTACGAATTGGCGATCCATTCGTGCCCGGTTTCTTGTGTTCTGCACCACCCCAAAATGTTCCCGATACGTTGTCTGGTATGGATTTGAAGAAGGCAGTGTGTTGGGAACTCTGTGAATTGGCATTACAACATGTTCGTTTTCATTATTCATATATTCGGTATATTTTGGTAGGTACTCTTTATCATAGTAAATTTCGTTGTGATTGGAAACATCTCTAGGTTTGTAATACACTTCTGGCTGCGAATAACTGCGCCTTGCGTTCATACGTGATCCTATTGGTTCATAATTTTTTACAAACCATTCCTTTTCATCTTCTCTTGAACGCTTATTCATAGAAACTCTTGAGCCTTGCTGCTCTGGAACGTCACCGTTTGAAAACTGTTGATTGGACCTCCTCCTTTCCCTATTTTCTTGGAGGTACATGTCTCGATAAGAATGAAATGAAGGTTTGGAATAATGTTCCTGTATTCGGTCTTGTAGATACTGACTCGATCTCTCAGGGTGTAATATGAAGTTGCTCCGCAGTTTCTCGCCGCCTTGTTCTGAATAGTTCCTTCCAACATTCTCACGTCTGCGAAGCAAAGATGAAGAAGGCATGGAATTCGTACGATTACTATATTTATTGATACTGTGATGAGAATAAGTAATCCCATCTCCTGCGACTGGTTGATGATTTGGAGTGTTCGAATTGTTTTCCTGCAATTCTTTAGCAATGTAGTCTTCAAAGGAGAAAAGTCTTTTCTGCATCCCCATGGATTCTGTATTATGAACACTCTGCACGGGGCTTAGATTAAGTGGACAAGATGGAAAGTTTTGTGATTTGTCTACACGTACAAATCCAGAGTGCTGTGATGGTTGGTATTGGATGGGTGTCACTGGAGATGGTGAAATAGGCCGTTTGACTGAAGTCGTCTGCATGTGGTTGGAAGACGGCTGGTTCGTTGGTGAAAAGAACTGTGGCGTTGTCTGGGTTTGTGCTGAAATTTTTCTTCCCAACTGTGTGTCTGACTTGAAATTTCCTTGGTGAGAATGATGGATGAAAGAACCATGTTTTGGCTGACAAATACTGCAATGTTCTTGTTCTTCCTTTCTTGTTAACGTCTGAGTAGACTTCTGCAAATCAGGCTGTCGCAATCCCACTGGATATGCTTCATCATCATATTGAACTTCAACGGGTTCCAGTAATGGTTCGCCATTGTCCTTTGTCATACGACTATGTTCACACGACACTCCACTTCGTTTTGATGTTAGGGACTGATGAGACCTTTGCTCGAGTGAACAAACTCTGCTGCCTCTTTGATTTTCCAGATTATCAGCATGTCTACTTGGCTTTGTTTGGTCTATGGCAGATTGATAGGACCCTCCATGAAGTGAACAGACTCTCGTGTGGCTTTTTTGCCGGCCACTTTCTTCATTGTATACTACCTGGTTAGACTTTGATGCATTCAACAGTAGAGATTTGGATCGTTCAGGCTTCGGTCCGCGTGGCTGTGCCCTAGCAGTTATTACTCGGCCACAGCTACATCTTGTTTTACTGATAATCTGTTCATCATCATCTACGGATGCTGGTTGAGATCTCGTTGAAAACTTCAGACTCTCTGGGTAATCGAGGTCAACTTTAGTGTTGTCCATATCTGTTTCTCTGCCCTCAAAATTGATGATGTAAGAATCGTCTTTCTTATCTGCAGTTTGATTAATTTTAGACTCTGGCATTGGTCTTCTCTCTCGATGAATTCTTTGATCAGAGGTTCTTTTACTTCGACTAGATTTTAGCGACTGCTTGCTTCCTCTCTCCTCTGGGATTAATCTGTCAGGTACCTTTGACATTCTGGACATACTTCTCACCAGTTTTAATTCAGAAACCACTGAAATTAAAGTACATTTAAAAATCTAAAACGCAGTTCACTATTTTAATTTTTAATGAAATAAATGGAGCAAATATTTTTTAAAATAATTTTTAGGGACTAAATAAACATACAAGTACAATTTCTGATTCCATCGGTCAAACAATCAGATTACAATATACATGTATTTTAAGATTTACGGAATAGCCCATTTTTGCTAAATAAAAATCAAGAATTAACGGGAGCACTTTAAACTGTTAATTTCAAAACTTTATGTATCACTTACACTGATTGACGTCAACTTCGGCTGTCTCCTTCTTGATGCTTTCTTTGATGGCCCCCAGACAGCACAACGTCTCAAAGAACACTACGTTACTCAGTTCACAGCAGCCCGGGGGTAGGGTCTTAGGAATGTCGCCTGTCTGAAGCCTCTTCAAATATGCAGCATCCTCCTTCTTCCTATTAAGTTAAAATTTTATTGATCTAATCTCATCATTTTTGTTTTTAATTTTAAACAATCGAAATTATAACTTTCAAAGTACCCAGTAACTTTTTAAACTATCCTTTCACTTTTGACTTTTGGCGTTTCTGGCTATAATTCAAAGGATTCATTTGCAGATACTTGCTTTCTACTTAGCACCCTGCAGCAATGGATGATGATGATAAGCACAATCCCAAGTACAGTTGCACCGAAGATGACCGCCATCCGGGTAGCTGTTGGACCATCAATCATTTTTATGACGTTAACAAACGTCATATCCTTTTCTTTGGGGATAGTTTCTATCAAAATGATTGTTAAAAAATGAATTAAGTAGGTAATAAAGGATGAAAATTTTGCACAAACTTTTTTGAATTGTTTATCAATTGAATCTACAGAGAGATGCAGTCTGTATGAGATGATGTAAGTAGAATACACTTGTAATATAGGTACACCGTACAATGTACTCTAAGTTAATGGATTTTACTCAAAAAATGAGAGTATTAACCGGGTCGGTTATTGTATATTTTTGAACTTAATGCATTAAACATCTGTTTTAAAACCTCAATCAACAGTAATTAGGGTTTCCGTGACCGTGAGTTTTAATTTGACCAAGCACCTCTACCCTATCTATATTCATAATCGTCATTAAAAATCCGTTTAGAGATAACTGCAAGGTCAAGCAAATATTTGAAATCTTTAGCATTTTGAAAGAATTTCACAGAAATTTCTATTTTTAGTAACCCCATCTCAAAAACCGATTACTCCTTATACTATCGGAAGGTCATTTAGATTATAACGAAGATGCATTAACAGTAGTTGCTTTCATTTATGAAATGTGGATTCAATGCACCCCAGTGAACTTGAAATAAATTTCTAAGGACACAAAGTTATACATCGGACCAAATCTGTTCATTTTGAAAGAAACTAAAAGAAATTTCTATTTTTAGTAACCATGGCAACACCGTTGCAAAGAATTATGTATTTTAGTGTAGTCCGTAGGAGGAGTAGCATATTGAAAGAATTTCAAAGAAATTTCTATTTTTAGTAACCACGACAACACCGTTCAGTCAAAAACCGATGCACAGAATTATGTATCTTAGTCTAGTCTACTTTTGTGCCAAGTTATATTGAAATCAGGCCAAATCTGTTTCATGTCTTGGAAGTTTTAAATACTGACAATAGACAATAGGGCCAACTAACAACTAGATTGTTTGAAATGATTTTGAAAGAATTTCTTCAACTTCTCAATCAAAAACCGCTTACTTTCCTTTTGCCAAGTAATATTGAAATCAGCAGTAAAACACGAAATTTCATAACGAAGTGCCACGGATCTTAGTGTAGTCTACCTTTGTGCCAAGTTATATTGAAATCAGACCAAAACTGTAGACATTTTGATTTAACTAAATGTTACATTCGTGATTCGCTATATTTATAAGTACAATATATTTACTTCGCTACATATAATCACTTCGCTACATGTATATGTGTCATTTAGTTATAAGCTTGTTCGCTATAATCATGTTTTACTGTAGTATTTCCCACAATCATATGCTGCAGTGCATATGGTGTTTACATCACCGGCCAGCTTATTCGATACTCAAGAGCATGTTCCGTGTATATCAAATTTAAACGGAAGCAGGCTCTGAGGCTATTGACAGGTATTAGTTGATTTTATGTTATGATGGATTTCAACAACGGCATTTCGTAAACTCTATCAAACGTCCTTGTTATGTTAGCAAATGTAACCTATCACTGGGTCGATTATTTCATTCCAGTTGTTTGATCTTCGTTTTTATACCGAATTTGACTATGGAATAATCCGTCCACCTGATCAAAATACTGGTATAAATTTTAGAATGCAATTTAGAAGAGGATACGTTTTCCTCCAATGTTCAACCATTAATCTATGCAGTAATTAGCATTTTTAAATACTGTGTTATAAAAGGGTGTCTTAGTATATAGATTTTAAGTGTCCATCTGCTTTTTTAAAAGTGGGGGATATTAATTTGGGTTTGTCTTTTTGAATGTGTACACGATATCTCGTTTGAGCTTTTGCAATGTTTAGTGCAACTCCCTATGGAAAGGAAGACCCCTATTGATTTTGAGGTCAAAAGGTCTCAAGGTCTGGAAATTATAAAATAAACCATTTGAGCTATTGCGATGAAATTTTACATAACAACTCCCTGTTTTATTGATTTTCAGAAAAGGTCAAAGTTCAAAAATTTATACATTCTGTCTGTGTGTAACACTATCATTTCCGGTATTTAAAGAAGATTTGGAGCTTTGCAATGTAAATATCAAAACTCCCTAGACCTGTGCCCTGCCCCGTTTGTTTTATTAATAATTATAGTATTACATATCGCTTTTTTTAGCACAGGGGCATAAGGAGAGTTATTGCGTATAAAACAGGTTCTCGGCGGACGTTATGTTCTTATCAAATCTATTAGAACCGTTTAATAAAGGCCAAATTAAACAAACACCGTGGATTGTGTAAAATATTGACAATGCCGAACATGAATATATACAAGTATGTGACTTCATTATTGCATATAATTCGCTTATGTACAGAGAGGCGCCGTGGTCTAGTGGTATGTCTCTCGCTTCACATGCGAGAGGTCCCGGGTTCGATTCTCAGACGACTCGTGCTTTTTTTTCCCGAAATACTTTTTTTAACTAAATAATAGTATTCAGCATGTGAAATGAAAAATTTATGAGGTGTGGCTGGTACAAACTCATGAGATCATTACAGTGTGTTAATAAATATTCCATATAAAAAGAATCTTCTATACACATACCGGTAATAAAGAATAAGCAATCAAATCTTTATATCCATATTGCCATATTTTATTTGCCTCAGTATACATGTATACATTTAATATAATTCTAAGAATTCAGTCAGGGGGATCCGACTTCCCCCTCTCCCGAACTCTGCATTGTTTACTTTTTCCCAAAGCGGGGGACACAAATTCTCTGAATTAGCTTGTTTATTATCTTTTTGAATGTGTATGTGCATGTGTGGAATCAAACTTCTGATTAAAAATAAACGCAAATCTAAGTTTTATTTGAAAATTAAACAAGGTGAATTTGTGAAATATCGATGCCCTCATATAACTGATCATTGCTAAGATTAACGTTTCTTAAATATCAATATAACTAGAGGTACTGTGAGCAATGAGCTCACTAAATGATACCCCCCGCCTCCCATATGAATAAAATGGCAGTGTCCATGTTTTGTTCTGGAAAATCCAAAATATATGTCAGATCAAAAAGTAAAATAGGAGGTGCACAATGGCAATATGTAATAAAGATTCTGTGAAAGTTTCATTAAATTTCATTCAGTGGTATGAGAGGAGTTGCGGATAAGAGATGGGTACCCCAAAGCGTAACAGACGGACGGACGGAAGGACGGACGGACGGACGGAATTAACGATTACTATATACCCTCCCGCTTTTCAAGCGGGGGGGGGGGGGGGGGTATAATGAAAGAAAGTATACCAGTTTTAAATTTATTAGTGTGTTTTTTAAAGCTCCAATGAAATTCGGTTGCGTGCACACATGACAGAACTTCCAACTCTGCAGCAAAACTTTGCAGCAAAATCTTTTTTCCCCAGTTAAAATGCCAAGGTTTGTTGTTTTCCAGGAAATAACTTACCTTTTAATTTAGTATAACAAAAAAGTTCTTTCTGACATTTTCCCACCCCTTTCCCAATTTTAAGCCATAGCAATGTCAAATTTCTTTTTCTTTTTTAAGTTTGGTAATGCAGAAAATTTGGAATCCTATTTATACTTATCTTCAATAAATGTCACATTCTAAAGAGTAAACTGTTCTTTTTCCCATAAATTATTGTGTGTGCGAACATCATTTTGACCCTTGTAAAAGACATTTTAATTTTATTATTATTTCATTCTAAACTCGGTAATTTTTTTTTAATTTTATTAGTAACACTTTATCCAAAATCCCCATGGCTGATCTTTCAGACAAAAAAATAAATAAAAGATATAAATTATGTATATATATTGTATAATTATGCAAAAAAAAAAAAAAAAGAAGCGAATATAAATGCATGTAATGAATGTACATGAGGCGTACTTATCATCTTTAATACATGTATATTCGTTATGATTAATCTAATCAATTTTGTAGCGCTTCTGATTTTGGAGAAATTAAAAAATAAAAAAAAAACTGGTTAATTTAAAATCATTAATGTACCGGTATATGAACACTAAGTTTAAAATATACTAACCTCCACCTTCTGGCTTGATACCGCCTGATTCTGAAAAAAAAATCAATTTAAATGTTACAACTTACATTAATAATCAACATATTTTCATTAACTTTTGCTTTTTGCTGGTAGGAAGCAGTAATGAAGCATTTTGCTTGCATGGTATGAAGTACACTGTACGTTACCCTTTTCGCACGACTTCCCCACGTAACCCACGGGACAGTGGCAGATAAATGGAGGGGTACTCCTGGGGGTCCATTCACACAGTGCTTTGTGTAGGCAGGGGTTGGGCAAACAAGGATTTGTGTCATCTAGAGAAAGAAGATAAAATTTAAAATTTATATCGAAATTATGCATATCGGTTTATTAATGCAGCATAGCTAGGAAACATTACTTACTTTTCCCAAATGAACGTTAGTACTCGTATAACATTATGCGCGTTACTGTATTCATGTTGATACCGAAATAAGTGAAAGATAAAAGGAAAAAGATCAAAATTTACAGATATGGTAAAAAGTATTTGATATTAACATCAAATCACTTTTTTGCATTATGGTAATAATGATGAAAGTCTTACCTAACACTTCTGACGCTGAAAAAATGAACATAATTTTAAACTGACGTAGCCTACATTTTTAAAAAATATGTAATTAATAAAAATAAAGGAAAAATTCTTTAAAAAATCAATCTCGTTTACTTACTTTTTAGTGGCCTAATTGGTTTTCTATTGTCTACAGATCGTTTTTCAACTTTCCCTGAACCTCCATTCCCTGCAAAAAGTACATGACAGCAATATTAAGAGTTATCGCTCTTTACACACACATCGAGATGACCAAGGCATGTTCATGTATGCAATGCCTATCTGAATAAACTGAGATTTTCCCCATAAAACATTGGTGAAAAATATTTCACGTTAATGCAATCACCTACAGCAGTACAAGACCCATATGATGGTGTAATTTTTTTTTATTTGGAAAGGGGTGGGGGTAAACAGAATTGTTCATCAAAATGAAAAATTTAAAAGACGACATTGATTTACCATTCTCTATATATTATTCACTACGTTATAATTTTTATCGTCCATCCATTTTCATGCCATCAATATGTTTTATAAACATCACACAGACAGAAAATATTTGCTCTAACGAACTTCCCAAACTTCTCTGACCTACCAGCTGTAATAACAATTTCTTTGCAACAGGTATTCAGTTCAATTTTGCCTCTTTCACCATAGGCAGAAGCTGCAGTATTATTTGAAGTGCTGAAGGCATCTGTGGTGTTGATAAATCCATATGTCAATCCATATGTCAATAGCACAAAAAAGATCAACTTCAAAAACATGTCTGTTTGTTCACTTATATGTTGACGTCATCACTATCTGTTGTAAACGTCACAGATAAATTTTCCCGATATGCATGTGTCTCATAAAAGCAAATTGGCAAAGAGAGAAAAAAGCACAAATGTGACAATTTTAATAAGTTAAAAATAGTCGTTCTAAATCTTGTAGTTACTGTGGGATTAAAATGACTCTTTTAATACTTTCTGTTTTATTCTTCTGTACTTTGTCGCACAGACACTTTCTTTTATAATTCAAACCCATATTTATAACAATTTTTTATAACATGTTTTATATTTAGAATTATGAGTACTATGGACTAAAAATTTATTACCGTAACAATTTAGTCCCCGTCACACGTACTTGTGGACAGGAACCCCCCCCCCCCCTCCGATATTCAACCGGCCCGGAGTTCATTGGACATTTTTTTCCACAAATTAGGCCTATATTTATTACACTTACTCATCATGTGTACAATTGGAAAAAATCGTAAAAACACAAATAATCACTCCACAAAAATACCCCACTATACTCTCTTATAATGTATAGTGGGATATTTTTTGTGGAGCGGTTATTTGGGGTTTTTCACGATTTTTCCCTACTGTACACGGTTGGGGGGGGGGGGGGGCTCCATGTGGTCCCCATGTATTCTAGCTAGGATTATTGAACTAAATTCCACATTTGTGATTTTACGTAGTCTTTTTATCTTTTTAATTCTGAAATTTTCAAAATAATTATAACATGGTCTCGTCAGTGAAAAAAAAGAACACCGAATTTTCAGAAAAATATATAGTTTATTAATTTCTTCTACGAATACAGGAAAAACAGCAGGAGAAAAATCTTCGGAAGATGTTTGGCTGAAAAGATAGCCGAGAAAAAAGTTATTAGCTATTATTATGAAAATTCGTATAAAACCTCCGATGTTACATATTAAAGTAGATTACGAAAAAAACAACTACTGTATATAACATTACAGTATATTAGTCCAATCTCACCTTGCGTTTCTTTGGCCGATTCTCGTCGGACTGATACATCACAGCAGCTGAAAAGGCTGAATGAATGGCAATGAGGGACATTCGCCGAATCTGTAAATGAAGTATACAGTTCAATTAAACTTTTCAATACAAATTAATAATTAATTAAATTAATAAATTGATAATCTATAGTTTTTGATACAGTTGACAATGATTTCATATTTACCTCATTTTCAAATAATTCTTCTGCAAGGGCTTCCTTCATACTAATTTCTGATAGCTGTCTAGCCTGAAACAATAGATCAATAGGAATATATTATTATAGCACTAAATAAGAAACATGACTTTTTTTTTCAAAGTGGAGGGGTAAGGGGGGGGGGGGTAATTGAGGACAAATTTTAACAATAAACCCACAAATACAAACAATTAAAAAAATATCTACCGGGTATTTTCTTTGGGAGTGAAGTGGAGTTTAAAAGAATAACAAGAGGGGATGATAAAGTCCAAAGACTTTTCAAATGGAGGGACCACCCTCTGTGCCTCTGATATACTACTAGTATATGGCAAGACTTCTTGAAACTCTTTTCGACAAATAACAAGAATGGGTCAACAGATTTTTTTGAAAGAAAAGTTTCAATCCTAAGACTATTCTAGTAAAAAGTGTATAGGGCACAGACACACCTCTTCCGGGCATCCCTAAAACTACGTATCTATATGTACAATGTATATATAATTCTTATATCTAAAGTTTCTTTCATATAGTTTTAAGAACATTATGTAGCTACAATAATTTAGCCCTCTCCGATTTTTTTTTAATCTGACCCCCCCCCCCCCACACACACACACAAAATAATTGGGGAGGGTCACATGATTGCAGCTAACATGTATGTTGCAAACTTTAAGAGATTTGTTTACCTGTTGAGTCAAGGCAATCTCTCTAGGCAAGCTGCACAGGCTCGACACCGTCTGTAGAAAAAAAAACGAGTTCATGAACAAACAATTTGTAAGAAAAGTGTATATCGATCTTCAAAAACGTGACAAATTCAATAAATAATCCTACCTCCTCGTCAAGCTCTTCCGGGCCTTCATCTTCATCGTCGGATTCATTGTGCTCGACCATTATAATCATCATGGACGCCTTATTGCCCTAAACGAGAATTTTTTGTGGAAATACTTTAATACCAAATTTCTATCCTCTATGAGTTTTACTTTTTAATTCTTTTTTTTATTTTTTTTAAATTGGTAAATTAAATAATAATATAAAATTTAATTAATATATTTTTTTTATGAAGTGTATTGTCTTTCCACTTTATTAAGAAATAAACTTTGTTGTTACTTCTAATGTAGTCATTACAACAAAGTTTAATTTTGAAAGAATTTTGTGAAAAGACAGTATGTTTTTAACTATTTGGACCATATTCATTTTTTTTTAAAGATTGATACACACCAGTTCTTTCTTCTGAGGAAGGTGACCATTCATTTCGTTTTCATCATTCTGTTAAACAAAGTACCAAAAAAAATGATTTTAAAGTCGCAGTCATACAAAAATACATGTACTCAATGGCTGAATACTAAGATAATTTACATGAATTTGCATTAAAACACATACCCTAGCTTATACAAATACTAATCAATCTTGACAAACTAAGGAGGGAAATGTTCAAATAATTTTATTTCTTAACCCAAAATTTTCAGCTTTTAAATTCTTACAAGTTTCTTCATAAACAGATTATTACCAGCCCCATGCAACCTAAGATCAAAATGCCAAAAATAGCCTTTGCAACTTCGAGCTTATGCAAGAGAATCTTCAAGCAAAATTTGGTTAAGAAATTCTAACTGGCCCGAAAATTCTTAGTCTATCTATCTTTTCTTTTTCTTTTTATTTTTTTTTCTTCAGTTTACTATTTCTTCCCAAAACCTGAATAAGTATTTAAAAGAAAACAAGGCTTCGAACTTTTACACGCTTACCATAAAGCCTTATTAGCATTGATGAAAATTAAGCTTTGTTATAATCAACAAATGACACGAGATAATTGCCCAGGAGGCGTTAGCCTCCGAGTTTGCAATAACCCCCCTTCCCCCTAATTTCTATTTGGTATTTTCTTTACATCAACTAATAAAGATATATAGAATTTTTGGTACTTTACAAATTTGGTAATTTTCATAGAAAACTTAGCTGCTATATGCTTGTACCCCCTCCATAAAAACGTCTGATGACTCCTTTTTTAGGGTACAAAGAGAAACAACATTAAATGATCAAAACAATGGACATACTACACTTTATTAAAATAGAAGTAAGTAAAGACCCCAAAGAAGAAGATATGAGAAGGGGAGGGAGAGGTTGGGTAGAAAAAGAGAGATTATATAATTGTATTATAGATTTAATAAGTCAAATATTACTTTAAAAAAAAATTCAAAATATGTTCAAAGAATTAATTATAAATACCTCGTTGTTTCCCGGATAGGACCTCTCCATTGATGGACCCGCGTTTTGATCCATTCTAAACTATAAAATTTATAAAGACAGAAACTAGAAAAAAGAAAGACTATATCGTGGTAAAAATTAATTAACGGAAATTCTTGTATATCATTATACAATATTTCCATGAGCAGATAAAGATACACTCGTTGAAATGATTTTTTCTAACAGAAATATTCTTAGAACTCAAGGCATAAAGATGTTGTATACTTTATAAATCGGACGTGGCGACTTCGATGAATTTTATAGTGTTGAAAACCAAACATGTCAGAATCAATGAAAAACTAATTTATCGTTTACATGCTTAAGAAAAAATTCAAAATATGCCTCCTTATGCAAACAATTTAGTTTTTAACTTACTTTACTCCAAAGACAACTACTTCTTCGGGCAGCAAATATTACTGTATCCAAAAATCAGAAATATGAATTTTGGGAAAATGCTTCTCAAATCTGTCTATTAAAAACATTAAAAATTTATTGAAGAATGAAGTACATTGTCTAATGCTGCAACTTTAAATTTATTTATTGTATACATTTTAGTTTAAGCAGGTATAACTTTTTTCTTACCACAATTTTTTTTGCGATCGAAGAGCTAGAAACCGCCGTCTCTATTATGACGTCACAGCTAAGTAACACGTCACGTGGTTAGTATACTAGGAACGGTTACTCTAATTTAGTTCTTTGAATAGTGTTTAATCTGGGAAAAAATTAAATCAGTCAGAAGTTCTTTACTTTATTGTGGAAAAATTTTTAGATTTAAAAAAGGTACAATGTTGACAAAGAATAAATTCATAGCAATATATATTGCATATAAATACCAGTTTCCTTATATGAAATGTCAAAAACCTTGAACATAACTTTAATGGCTATAGTTTGACATTAACTAATAAACTAAAAACCAGAGATTCGCTGGATTTCAGGAAGGGTTTTCATTCTTTTTACATATACACATGTATTACGTATTCTCTCTCCCTCTCTCTCTCTCTCTCTCTCTCTCTCTCTCATGAATGCACACTTCATGGTTCGTGAAATCGCTAAACACAGTTCGTGGTGATATGCCTAAATAAATGAAACAATGGCATATTTGTACCCTTTCTAATTCTGATTTTTAGGTTTCATCTACTGAAATTACTTGATCTGCTGCATGTGTACGTGTGTAAATATAAATGACAGTAAAATAAACCTTGTGGTGTATACGGATCATCTTTAATGAAGTTCATGGGATTGTTCATTCGTTAATACTGTAACCTGCATATGAACGCCTGCATGTCTGACAATATCGATAAACCTTGATGTTGCAAACGATGAATAAAAACCCTGTGACATGACAATAAACAGACTGTAATTACAAATATATATCATTATAGTTTTTATATCCCAACAATTTAACATTGATTCAAATAGAAGTATGAAGCGAGCTATAGATATACAATAGATTGGCCGATATCAGCTTTACCACTAGAGGTTCTTGGGGGGATCATTTCAATATCTTTTGTATTAGAAAAAAATACTATTCGGGTTAAATGGCTTTAAATAATCTTACAAATGCAAGTATAGAGAAATAATGCTGCATTTAAAAGATAACACACAGAAAGTGTCTTTCTGAGTCGCAAGAAAAATAAACCATATATCACAGAATTATTGGATCTTATCCTCTGAGGGGCCCCATACTTTTGTGGACAGTGTTTATTTTGTATTTCATGGCAGCAAAACAGTCGGTAGTATTTCTTAGGTCGGAATTTTTTATCGGGAAAAAAGTTCTGATTTTAGAAATGTCCTTATGATGAAAACATTTTTATAACTCGGGGCAATAATTGTACAATTTGTGAACTGGAAAATTAATTAATCAATTTTATCTAATTTGATACTATTGTTCACGTTGCACAGGAGCGGATCTAAGGCACATCTCATTGATATGGGTGGATATACATATGTATTTTTTTTTTCATGCAAATTAATGTACCCATCATGTAATCAAGGAATGTACGATTCGATATGCTTTATGTATTATAAATTAAATCATGTTGAGAAAATAATGAGGAAATAGGATTTATTACATGTATATTAATATTATTATTTAAATCTATTACAATTTATTACATCTATTTTGTATTGTTTTATGGACTTTTGGTCTGGAATACTGTTCGTTATCTCCATATGTTTCATGTATATAATAATTACTGATTTCAATGGATTTTTTTTTTAATCTGAGTTTTTATTAATTTTGATATTTGACAAATCATTTTTCTAATGGCTAAAATGTAACTTCGCAAAAATATTTTTTTTTTCGATTTCATTCATTTATAATTTTCAGCTGCAATTGCGATTATCTGAGCGAAAGACAATATATCATGATCATAATCTACAAAGAGAGATTTTCTTGCTAAAACCGACAGGGTCAAGGTGAAAGCTAGCCGTGTGTAAATATTAGTAAACAAACACGCCTTGGTGTGCATTTACTGTTTGCTTGCGTTTACATGTGCCATGTTTACAAACAGGGGCTGACACACATATAAATAGTTCTTTTCTGACGATATACAATGTTTACCTTGTTTCCTTGAAAAAAAAAAACTTTCATTTTATGCAGTATATTATAGGACCATGAATCACAATTAAATTAAGCATCGTTTTAAAAATGAAGTTTACTATTAATTAATATCTACACGTATTATTTTCTGAACATCTAGTGATCTACATGTATGGATTAGTTTTACTTGTAGCGATACAGTGCATGTAAAAATATCGATTTGATATACAAAGTGTGTAACGGAATTCTGACCATTACTGTATGTACTCAGGCATTAATAATTTTATGGTCCGTACATACGTGCATGTATGCAGCAACATGAAGCTAGTATACTGCTTTAAATGAACCCGTTCGCATAAATTCCTGTTGATTGTTAGTTATCTTTTGGACCTGAACTCCTATCCTCACCCCCGGGCCACCACTACCCCAAAAGAAATTAGCATACACATTGTGTATAACATTTATCTTTTATATATCCATCGTAAACGAATATAGATCAAGTTAAACGTATTATAGACACATGCATATCATTATCGAAATAAATTCTTTCACATATTTTAATATATAGTTAGTAACCTTTTTCGTATGTAACCTGTTTTCAACTATTTTATTATCGTCTGAATTACGTACTGTATGTTTCTGCTACGCACTTCTTCCATTTAAATTTGCAAAGGTATTTTAAAGTATATTTAGAACAGATTCAACTATTCTTAAAATCCTTCTCAAAAATAGGTCAAAAGCAAGTTGTTCAACAAAAAGGGCCTGGTAGAGCGATGGGTTTCCTGTGGTAATCTCACGTGAACTGACGTAAATTATCAACACCTGATTAAACACCTAGACTTATATACAGATCAGTCTTATAGCTGACTTGTAACATCAATCTTACAGCATTCGTTTATTAACACATTCCTACAGGTCCCCCTGCCCTACCTATCTTAATTGATTGATCTCTATATATATTTTTGCTATACTTTATTGTGATAGTGAACATATACGAATGTGGCTGCACGTACATGTACATAGGGAAAGCCTAGAAAACGAAGTGAAGTTGAACACCCCCAATTTCATCGACATCTTTACATGTACTTGATCAAAATGATTTATGATTTTCCGTATATTGTCTAAAAAAAATTGATCTATATATATGACATATTCAGTTTGTAACCTCCAATTCAAAGTGTTAAATCTAGGAGCTGGTGTTCAACTTTTAGGTAGGTGTAAATGTATTATAGATATCTAAACACCCATTCTCAATATAAGGGCACAAATGCCACTTTGATTTTTAAAAAAATGAAGTTCACGCTAACAATTTTTCTATCAATTACCTTTGAAAGAAAGTATGTGAAGATTTTGTTTCCAGATGTTTTTTCATCAAATTTTAATACATGGAATAATGACAAGACGGTAAAGTAGAGGGTGATTTTATTCAGAAATGTAGCTTGAAATGTACGTTACTCTTTCTTCAATGTCCAAAAAAATATGTTTAAAAAAATGTAGTCATTAAAATCACAATTGGAATATCTCATCTTAACACCAGCACATCCTACCAACTCTGTCAGCAACATATTTTCTCGGCATACGAACGTGCGTTTGATTTTTCCTTTCAAAAAACAAAGGTTACTTTTTGATCCAGATATATAAAACATTTTTTTAAATATATGCTTTAAATTCTTCTCTCTGTTTTGTTTAGAGCGATCAGTTTGGAATCTTTTTATTTTCTATAGATACTGGAACTTAACATGTACATGTAGTAAAGTTCTATTTTGTAGTTACTGTCTTTTTTAATATATATCCAAGCCGATTTAGTAAACTACGTAAATGTAACGTACATTTCAAGATATATTTCTGTTTAATAAAAAGCTTAAAATTCATCTAAAAATTCATCGTTTTGTTTCAGTTTATTCCAAAAAAGATTCTCTATGTAATCACATTGTGTTATATGTCACAATCACCACTATAAAGACACGATTGCCTCAGAATATGAGTAGGTAACGTACATTTCAAGCTTGTAATAATATGTAAATTAGTAATAAGAAAATAATGAAAAAAAGCAATTATTGACATAAAAATCATTTCAATGAAGCGTTTTAACGCAGTAATATAAGAAATCATAATGTAACAAACGAGGTTATTTGTCATCAACTACATGAATGTCACGTCACATCGGTAACGTTCATTTCACATATTATTGGGGAGTCCCCTCCACCTCAGTTCATTACCATTCTTTTATGCCGTTTCGCTGAAATTGACACCAGTCGTAGCCTAGTTACTTCTACCTGTGTGCAAGGGTACAGACAAAAAAAAATAAGTGTCAGACGTATTTTGCTATGATCTAACAAATGCTCGTGTTTGGCCATTGAAACTAAACATAAATCTATTCCGAATATGTCCATCGACAGTCTTGTTAACAATTTCATTTAGTATGTTGCAACATCGTTTGTCAAAACACAAACATACGTGCTTTTCAGCAGATCTGGAAAAATATAACCAAAAATGCAATGATTCAAACAAAACTGAGTATTGTGTGCCTTTCAGTATTTGAAATGTACGTGACCGTCTTGTGTTCTGGGTTTATTTGTTTTGTTTCTTTTGTTTTGTTTTTTTCTACCAATTATAAGCCTATGCATACCTTGTTTTAAATTATCAACAACAATTAAATTTATATTGATGAAAAGTCGCATATTAAAAGTAAACAAACTGCAAAAAGGTTGCCAAAGATGAATTTAAGACACTTAGTAATAAATTTTCTAGCATGGGGTAACAGTCTACCACATTTAGGAGGATAGGGGGTGCATTTAGATGGATTTATGTGGTCAGTTGTCAAATGGATTGTAACGATAATTTTGTTTCGCTTGTGTAAACGCAATTCATTGACTAAATAAAAAAAAATGTCAGTTAGAAAACCGCAAAATGTACGTTACCATACGTAACGTACATTTCAAATATAAAAATAAATTCTCCTCCACAAGCGTACGTTAGACACGCAATATATTGATACTATTTGAACTTGCATATCATAAGAAATGCATCATACAGGTTTCGTACTCAGAAATATATACCAGATCTCATATTATATTACATATAATTGACCTTAATAT